GTCCGTGACTTCTCGGTAGCTAAGGCGTATTTTGATGGCCCAGTCAATGAGCTTTGCTTGTACTCAACCTCATTAAATGGCAGGATGAGCTGGAAAACTTCTGCGGCGTTGGTGGCGTCGATATCATTGTCATCGGTGGTCGAATCCGAAGGCCGTTTGAACTTGTGGAACTCTAGAAGATGCTGGATTGCGGCCGTCGTCGACTCTGCTGCGATTAACTGGCTGGTATACCGCTTCTTGGTATGGCAATCGGCGCATAGGAAGTACTTGTCATTACTATGCTCCAGCTCTGCTCCATATGAATAGATCCACGAGACCTTCACTCGTCTGCCGACGTTCCTCTTGTCCCGTATGCGATACTGTGTACCGTTGAGAATCGTGCCATCGTGCCGCCGAAGCATGCCCCAGTCAATTGGGAACGACACCGAATGTGGAGGGCAGGTAGACTGATGGTGAGGTTGCTCCACGCCTGACGTTCGCTCGGTCGACGGTATCGGCTCGTTTAGATCGGTAGATTGCCTTGAGGAAGAGGTCACAGAAAAGCTTCGCGTACTTGACGACCGGCTTGGGCCCCAAAACGCGTGTACCGACATCACAACGTGTCGACGCGTTGTGGATAGCGGCTTGGTGGAGCAGGAGCAGGGTTCCACTTTGCCTGGGTGAAGATCCCAGTGTGGGCGATGCGCTAAGCTGTTTTACGTTCATGACCGCACAACGGCCCCACAACGGGCAAAGTACGTCGATTCTAACCAATGAAATTGGCCAATTTCGCACCGGTCCAGGGTAGTCATCTACTCTTAATTACTGACATCAAGTACTTGACAACTCGACGCTCTTGCAACTTGATTGATTGACGACAGCTATTAAACTTGACTTGAGAACTTGACTTGACGGGCAGTCAAACTTGATTGAGACTTGTCAAGTTCGAGCTTGATTGTTACAGCTATGAGCGAAACTGGTTTCCTCCCCCATACTCTCTTTTCTATAGTATTCTAGGAGCGCGGCCATCACCGACACCGGCAAAAGTGGGGCGAGTTTTGCAAAAAGAGTGTGTGCAGGAGGACGGCGGTTCCGCTCACAGCTGTAGCCACACTGGTACAGTACTGACGGCACATGAGTAGCGATTCTACTGTATTGGAGCTCAGATTAGTTTTTATCCTTCATTATTTGAGATTCTTGTCGAGTGTAGGGTGGCGATCCATCATGGTGGATGCAGATGTGGACGCGTCGGTGGGTGGGGGCTACCCCGCGACGCCAAAACGACGCGTGGGGCGGCCCACGGTCAATGCTCGCGATGCGGCGAGGCGGTTTGAAGAGAAGGACTTGGCGGTGAAGCGCATGACTCGACAAGCGACACGGGCAGCCTCGAACGACGATGAGACCGAACAGGCGACAATCGCGAAGAAAGCAGTGGCCAGCGGCAGCGATGGAAAAGCGATGCTCCAGCGCGTTCTGGAGCTGCTGGACGCGTCACGTACCGAAATGAAAGACATGAGACAAATTATCACTGAACAGTTTGAAACCATTAAAAAACAGCAAAAACTGATTGAAGAGCTTCAGCAGCAAGGAGAAGACACGAAGCGCGAAGTTCTCGATGCAAGAGAGGAGTTGCGTGATGCAAAAGAGCAATTGAAGCAAGCAGTCGAGCAACTTGAAGCCATCACGACACGCGTCGCGGAGTCCCCACAGCCATCGTACGCGGACGTTGCGCGCTCCCCTCCGTCCTCGCAACCAAGCAACATCAGGACCCTCTCAACAGGCAACACAACGCCGTCCAATTTCACCGACACATTCTACTGCACCATCGATACCTCGCGGGTTGGAAATGGCGAAAACGACCAGGTTACGGCTGGGGCCATCCGCAGCATGGCCGAGGAGGAGATCAGGGCCGAGCAAGGCCAGTCCAACTGGCGCTGCCGCGCCGTCATCAAGGATTCCAAGAAGCCCAACCGCGTCAAGATTGCTTGCCGAGACGAAGCTGAGCAGAACATGGTGAAGCGAATTGTGGAAGCCAAGCTGCCACCGGGCGCGAGAGTGCTCAGAGACGAGCTCTATCCTGTCAAAGTCGACCATGTCAACCGAACAGCCGTCTTGGACGACTCGGGCGACATCCGACCGGGAGCTGCCGAGGCGTTTGGAAAGGAAAATGACGCGCAGATCGCCAAGATTGCGTGGCTGAGCAAACGCGACGTCCCGAAGGCGTATGGCTCAATGGTGGTGTATCTATCCAAGGGGTCAGACGCCCAGAGGCTTCTTTCGGAGGGCTTCTTTTACGCCGGAGGAGAGTCGGGGTATACCGGAGTCTTCGAACGTCGCCCTCGTCCCGACCAGTGCTACAACTGCCAGCAGATCGGCCACAAAGCTTTCCAGTGCAACAGGAGCCAAACTTGCGGCAAGTGTGCAAAAGAGGGACATCACCACAGCGCTTGCAGTGAGACAATCTACAAGTGTGTGTTGTGTGGTGGACCCCACGAGTCATTCAGCCGAAACTGCAGGAAGCTTTATCCATCTCCAAATGAGTAACACGCTTCGAGCGATCCAGCACAATGTGGCAAAGCAAGGCCCGATTCAGGATAGTCTGATGAACGACAGTGAAATTGAGAATGCAGCGGTGCTGGCTATTCAGGAGCCGCAAGCAAGGATAGTCAAGGGTCGCCTACTGACGACTCCAATGGGGCACAGCAAGTGGACGAAGATGGTGCCCCCCACGTACGCTGAGGGGAGGTGGGCGATTCGAAGCATGTTGTGGGTCAGAAACGACCTGGATGCGGAGCAGGTGCCGGTCGAGTCTCCGGACATGACTGCGGCGCTGTTGCGGCTGCCGGATCGTCTGGTCTTGATGTTCTCTGTCTACGTACAGGGGAGTGAAGAGCAGGCGCTTCGGGAGTCGTGTGATACACTGCGGCGGGTTATCACCGACACCAGGCGGAATGCAGGTAGAGTCGTAGATGTGGTGATTGCGGGCGACTTCAACCGCCATGACCAGCTGTGGGGAGGAGAAGATGTGGTGCCAGAGCGATACGGGGAGGCAGATCGGATCATTGCGCTGATGAACGAGTTTGCACTCAGTAGCCTGCTGCAACGGGGCACGAAGACGTGGCACAGGGGTGTGCACGAGTCGACAATTGATCCGATACTGGTGTCGGAGGACTTGGCGGGCTCGGTCATCTCCTGCAAGACCCTGGCCTCGAACCACGGATCGGACCACGAAGTCATCGACACGGTATTTGACACATCAGTCCCGGAGCGAAAGATGCCCGAGCGGCTGCTACTCAAGAACGCGCCCTGGAACGATATCAATAAGCGAGTAGCCGCAGCCCTGGGAACGGACCCGATCGAAGGCACTGTTCAACAACAGACGGACAGGCTCATGTCGGTAGTGTTGGAGGCGATGCATGCCCTCACACCCAAGGCGAAACCATACCCCCATGCGAAGCGTTGGTGGACACAAGATTTGACACAGCTGCGACAAATACACACGTATTGGAGGAACCGCGCGAGGGCGTCGAGACGCGGAGGACAGATCTCGGAGCATCTCGAGCGTACGGCTCGAGGAGCTGCGAAGCAATATCATGACGCCATCCGACAACAGAAGAAGAAACACTGGAACGAATTCCTGGCAGACAATGACAACATATGGCAAGCGGCCAAGTACCTCAAGTCAGGAGATGCCTCAGCGTTTGGTAAGGTCCCACACCTCCACCGAAGCGATGGCTCTAGAACCACCAACGTCAAGGAGCAAGCCGGCATACTGCTCACGACCTTCTTCCCTCCGCTACCGGAGATCATCGAGGAGGAGGGCGACAGGCCACAGCGCGGCGCGGCAGTGCCCATGCCAGACATCACCCCGGCTGAGATTGAGCGACAGCTCTTCGCAGCAAAGTCATGGAAGGCGCCCGGCGACGACGGACTGCCCGTTGTGGTTTGGAAGCAGCTCTGGCCCAGTGTCAAGCACCAGGTGGTTGCGCTGTTCCGTGCTTCGCTTG